GGATCTCCAAGATGCCGCTGACACTGAGTGAGATAAATGGTGACAAGTTTGTAGGCCAATTTGCGCACTAAAACCGTCTAAAAGGCGCCACTCACACACGTACACATGAACAATAACCAATCTCTTCCGTCGTCGATGGCTCACACAATTAACTCCGCGGGGCCCGAAATAAAATGCAGCCTGCTGCAATTTCGCCTTCGCCTGCACGTTGCATTTCACAGCTGAATGGATCTGGATCCGAAGCTATGGCTATAGCCTTCTAACGGTTTTTCTTAACTTTGGCTCACAGCGCTGCTTATCGTAATTTTCGCGCCATCAATTTGGAATTACTTGTAGCGCTAGTTCTGGGCGAATTACATGCTTCATTGGGCCTTTGCCGCCTCTGACCGACTCGAAGATGATGGCAAACTCCAAAACCAGCCCAGCCAGCCAGGTGCTTCATGACTGCTGGCCATGGAATGCAGCTTGCAGATTTTAGCATAAGTAGCGCAAATTGTATGCATTTCCAGCTAAGAGCGAAGAACGATGGACGCCCAGACAATCGCAGCGGCGAACGACGCAATTACCGATAAATGGAAGCTGGCTTTCATCCACTTAACGCCTGTTATGGCAGCTTTACAAAGTGTTGATTCCCCGGCACTGCAAATTAGATAACTGGCCGAGTGTGGAAAGCCAACTTATTATGTAATCTGATTACCCACAGGAAATATCTATAGATTGCACTTACACCTCGATGGTCAATGGCTTGGTTTTATTTAATTGGTCAATGACTAGGTAAGGCATTTGTCTTAAATTAATCTAATTAAGTAAAATAAAGCAAATTCTGATTCGCTTGGTATTTTAATGTCAAGATAGTATCTTATTTAGACCATACAAAATTTGAATTATACTTGGATTAAAAAGGGTTTAATTTACGATTTTCGCTAAACTGGCTTTTCGATTGCAACTTGTTAGCTTTCGCTGCTGGCCACTTTACCCTTACGATTAATCCACCCTTAGCCGAGAAACAGCGAGTCACCTTCGCAGAAAAAAACCCCAAGCAATCCAGGCTACCGGGAAGAAGCAAACCATCCTCACGCTCGTTTCTGGCCACAATTTATGCCTCGAAACGCTCCTTGAACCGGGACACGCAGCCCAGCCCCCGCATTCCGAACCCTTGGGCACAGTGAAATAAAAAGGATAAAAACTGAAGCAGCAAACTGCATTCATCTGCTCACAATGCTCGCTACCTACACAAGTGCAAACAAACGATGGCGTGCCTCTCGGGATTCCAAATGGCAAAAGGGGGCCGGGATACTTGGCGTATACTTTGTGCCACGACTACTTTTTACTTTTCTTTAACATTATTTTGCACTTTTCAATTAAAAAAGTATGCACCCCACGCAGCCAGGGAGCCAAAGAGCCAGAGCGCCAGAAAGCACCAGGCCAGCCCGTCAGACACAAGCCAACAAACTACGGCAAAGGGCAAAAGTAACCCCAAAAGCGGTCGAAACACGCCGATGAGGAGCCGAGTGGAGAAGTGGGCGGTGAAAAAACCAGCTGCCATAATTATAATTTCTTAATGCAAATAAAAACTCGCTGTGCTGATTTTCCGCTTTTGTAGAGGACCACAATTTAAACATTATGGACTTTTACTTGGACGCTTCGCGAACGCTCTCTCATTTGTGGCAATGCCCTATATCTGATAGTGGGTCTTCACACTCCCGAGTTTAACATTTAAATTTAGTGACTTCTATAACATTCTTAAAACAGCTAGCTTCTAAAGTAATAGCTAGGGATGTCTATCGAGACGAATAGTCCAAAATACACAGAAGAAATTATCAAAAGTTTAAGGTGCAAAATCAGGGGGGAAACATTTTAAAAAGTAATACGCTTTATACAAATTTTTTTTTGCTTTGGATTTTAAAAACGTTTTTATTTTTATTTTTAAAACGTTTTTACAAGAAATAGCAGCTAAAACGTCGTATACTTTTCTTTGTGTATCGACTTTAATATCGTATCGTATATATCGGAACATTAAAATATTGCTAAAATATTGTTATATTAAAAAGTATAAAAATATTAATATTATCTGGCATCTCTACTGATAACTAAGCATTTTTCTTTCAATAAATGCATATCAATACATTTAATAGAGAAATATGTATAATCTCCTACATTTTTAAAATCAGAAAGGGTTCCGAAAAGTATTTTGGTGCCGTAGTTCCTTAGATTTTATTTTTATAAATATTTTGCAAAAGATTTCATGAAATAGTTCAAGTAACAAAAGAAACTTCAACAAAGGGTGTACCGCTTTCAACTTATCGCTCAAATATACTGCAATCTCACGGTTATTTTTATTTTTCTTTGCGCATTGCCAAGGAAAAACGTAAAAAAAAGGGGTTAAATGGGTATTTTCTCCTGTTCCTGTTTCAGAATCCTGCTCTTTGCTCCAGCTCCTGGTTTTCCACGCCCCTTTCGGACGCCCACCGATGTTGACCATTGTGGCCATGCCATTGCAGTGCCAACAAACATGCATAGTTAATGAGCGAAATAAAAAAGCTGTGGCCCCTTTGCCGCACACACATATCGCACACACCCATTCGTACATATTTAAGGGCCTGGCTTTTCAGCACCGTGCGCAATGAGCTTACGTGGCGTATAATTAATATTAAATGCTATACTTATAAATTAAATAAAATGGCGCAACTGAAGCTGCCTGGCTGCTCCTTCTTTCAACCGCACGATTGATGACCTGGCCGTCAGGCAAATGTATATAGTACACTCCATATATGTGGGAGCCCTATGTACATTGGGTTTTCTGTGTTTGTGGGTCCCAGTACTCCTATATCCTCGCGTTATAAATGTGTGTTTGCCAAGTTTGACTTGCTACTTGCGCCACATCCGCTGTGCGGAAAAATGCTTTTGATTTGATTTTCACCAAATGTCAACTTGACGTCACGTCGTCGTCTGGAAGGGAAAGCGGAAAAGCGAAAGAGCGGGAAAGCGGACGTCGTCGTTGTCGCCGCCTTTGTTGTGCCGATTCAACTGCATGATTTATTGTTTTGATGAAATTGCGTGTAAACAATTTAGTGGCTGGTTGGCGCCCAAAGCCCAAGTAAAGTCCTCCCACTCTTAAAGTCTATGGACTTTGAAAAGACTTTATTTAAGGTTAACTATGGCTATAATTCATGGCCAAACAACAAGTGCTAAAGTTGCATAGTTTTGAAGTTTTTGGGGAGCTGTGGCAAAAGATTATGAAAGATTTTAGCGAACTACACTTGATGGATTATAGTTTTCAGCTCCCTAAAAACGTTTCAGAAACGATAACAATCGTTTTAAAATATATTACAATATTTTTACATATATATCAATAAAATAAAAGGCTTAAATAAGAATTTTCAACTGCTTTCGGATTGAACTTTTGGCCCTGCAAGGGAACCGCAATCGTTGTAAATATGGAAATGCCATTCCGAAAGTGCTGCCACAAAACCCACAAGGATGTCAAAAGAGATGGAGTCAGACCACACGAGCTCTCCATGGGAATCCCCTTAGTTATGGGGCAGTTAAAGCTGCAAGTTAACCACAAAACTGAACGCAGCATCGTGTGCAATTGCGATTCTTCCAATAAATATGCCATAACAATAAGCAAGGCGAGCTAATATCCGATTACTCTGTCCCCGGCAAATGTGGCGTGAAAAGCGCCAAGCCAAGCCAAGATACTCTTTCAGATCCTTCCTATTTCCCTTGCCATATGGCAATCGAGCATGAAACAAACGCATAAGTAAATACCAGAAACGAGTGACTTTCAATATCCTCACAGGCTTATTGCTTACAGCAAATTTCACGCCAGCAGACAGACAAATACGAGGAGCTGCGAATGCATTTACACATTTGCAAACACAAACATCAGAGAGACAGTTGCAAACATGCAGTATACAAATATGCGTGCATTGAGTTTTCCCTACGCCACCCAAAAACCCCACCCACTTTCCCGAAGCCGTTAGCTTGTGAAGCATTTCCATGCTTCTGGATTCAAAATAGGTTTCGGACTGGGTTTGGTTTCTCGTTCGCACCCAGTCATGTCTGAGTGCGTTTCCTCCAACGCATTTACGTTTATTGCATTTGTAAATTATTCACACAAGGATATTAAATGCAAATTGTGAAATAGACGACACACTCGTGCTCCGCTCCGCTCCACAGATACAATATCCGTTGATGCCCATGTATATATTGGCGAATTACTCAGCTCCTGCATATGATTGTCACATGCAAAAACGAATAGAGATTCTCGTTTCCCGACTCTGGGATGCCCGCCTCGGGTTGTCGGGTCCTCGCATTTGATTTCCTTGAATGCCATTTGCCGGAAGTACCCTTTGGCCCAACGTGAGGTTACTTGGGTCGATGGTCGATGGCATATAGTTTGTTACGCAATCTGACCACTTGATTGACTCTGGTCTGCCTTTCTGCCGTTCGTGCACCTGCAATTCGATCTATCGAGCACAGGGATCAAAAATTAATTTTATTAAAGCCCAGAGACTCTCTAGCAGAGAGGACTGCTTTCAGACCTTATTTATTCGTTTTCCATTACCTGATTACACTCTGCCCTGCCTGCCCCGACTGCCGGAAAGGGACACTCTCGGAAAGTGGCCAGAACAAGTTGGCAAAAAGTTTAATTTCACTAGCAAATTTCACTTGCATGCAACGCTGCCTAAACACGTTTGACATTTGCATTGCTCCTGGATGTGGACAAAGTTTTGGGTGCCGGCGAGCGTAACATGCAAATCGAATTTAAACTTGGCAACAAACATTTGAAGGCCATCTGGCTAGAGGGCATATGCATATGTACACTAAACTCATTACCAAATCGTCTATGCAGAACTGCAGCACCTGTCGGTAAATCAGTAAACAGTGACAATTATTTCACAATTATTGGCTAATTATCCCACTTAGCACCTCAACATTTAAAGTGCGTGGCCCTATAAAAGCCCCTTGAAAATGGTGCAAGTCAAACAGTCATCATGTTCAAAGTAAAGGATCTATTGCTTTCGCCGGGAACCTTCGAAGATCCCATCTTCAAACCCCATCTGCGGTGCTTTCGGTGGTATGGTTATGTGGCCTCCAAAGATCAGAAGAGACCTTGGTTCAGTCTCCTGCGCTGCACCGTTTTCACGGCCTCCATTTGGCTGAGCTGCGCCCTAATGCTTGCCCGGGTTTTCCGGGGCTACAAAAATCTCAATGATGGGGCCACAAGTTGGGCGACTGCTGTTCAGTATTTCACTGTTTCCATCGCCACGCTCAATGCCTATGTGCAAAGAAATAGTAAGTTTTAAAATGATATTTTATAAATATATAAGAGAATTCTGACGTTTCGGATTGAGTTCAAAAAGTTTTAAAAAATATATCGACTTTTTGAAGTGAAAAATGTTTTTAATATTTATGATTTCAGTCAGAAGTTTGCCACGCAGTGAAGGAGACGTTTCCGACCCCATAAAGTATATATATTCTTGATCAGCATCACTAAACGAGTCGATCTAGCCATGTCCGTCTGACTGTCTGTTTCTACGCAAACTAGTCTCTCAGTTTTGAAGCTATCGGCTTGAAACTTTCCCAAAAGTCTTCTTTCTATTGCAGGTAGTATATAAGTCGGAACCGGCCGGATCGGACAACTAAAGGGTGTTTTTTTAGAGGTATAGAACTTTAAGTTGCAGTAAAACAACGATGGATTATTCGATTGACATGTTTTTTTTTTTGTTTTGTTCGAAAGATAATCTTGTCGCATTACATTTTATATATGATTTCTGGCATATGATCGCCACGGCTGGCTCGACTGTAGCACTATTTGCAAGCGTTGTTCAGGCGTGAGTCTATTCATGATGAATTGCCAAACCAAACTGAGAATAAATCACTTGACAGCTGTTAAATCGGTCGCCATCTTAAACAGTGATGCCAATTTAAAGTTCTATATCTCTAAAAAAAACACCCTTTATATCTTATAGCTCCCATATGAAATATCGAAAAAAAAACTTTAAAAAAAAGTCTAGCTTTGGTATTTTCAAAATATTAACTTATTCTCTTGGGAATGTTATTTTTAAAATATTTAGGAATTTCGAATAAAATTTAGAAAAAATCGGGGCACTATATCATATAGCTGCCATAGGAACGGTCGGAAAATTAAATGCAAATTAATAGGAAAAAAATTATTGCTTCGTTGGTTTATTGTATGACTCTTTTTAAATATTTCCGAATTTCGGTTTAATTTTATCAAAATTGAACTACTATATCATATAATGAGAAAAAATGGAATATTGAACATTTTTACGATTTGTTAATTAATAGGAATGATCTGCTTCGGCCAGCCGAAGCTAGCTTCCTTTCTTGTTTTGAAATAACATTATTAATTTTACTTTTCTCTTTTCATCAATGTGAATATTTTTCTCTTCGTAAATCTTTCTGATTTTATCATTCTTTAAAAAATTGAATATTTCATTATTCCATTTGTTCAGGAGTAATTTACCTTTTGAGAGAGGCTTACGAGGACATCCAGAACTTAATGTTCGTGGCAGATGATCAGGAGATGTCTCTCCTGGTCGCCACGCAGGTTTATACCCGAACCATTACCCTGATCCTGTGGGTTCCATCGGTCATTGCTGGTTTTATAGCCTATTCGGACTGCATCTATAGGACTTGGTTTCTGCCAAAATCGGTATTCAATATGCCGGCAGTGCGACGAGGTGAGGAGCAGCCCATTCTGCTGTTCCAACTGTTTCCCTTTGGAGAACTGTGCGATAACTTCGTGGTCGGGTATCTGGGACCTTGGTATGCTCTGGCTTTGGGAATCACTACGATTCCATTGTGGCACACCTTTATCACGTGCCTCATGAAGTACGTGAACCTAAAGCTGCAGATTCTCAACAAACGGGTGGAGGAGATGGATGTAAGAGCACTGCTATTACTATGCAATGATAATTTATTTATGCAAAAAACCTATATGTTTTTGGCTACTCAAAGATCACACGCATAAATCCGACCTTGGTAGTAGATCGTCTATCAGCCAGTGAGCTTACGTACTGGCGATTGCAACTCTTCAAGGAATTCGTACGTGAACAGCTGAGAATTCGGAAATTTGTCCAGGAGCTTCAGAATCTAATTTGCGTCCCGGTTATGGCAGATTTCATTATTTTCTCGGTTCTCATGTGCTTTCTCTTTTTTGCCTTGACAGTTGGTGTGAGTGGAGGAGTCTTTAAAATGTATTCTTTTAAATAATATTTAGTATGCTTTATCAGGTCCCCAGCAAGATGGACTACTTCTTCATGTTTATTTACCTTTTTGTTATGGCTGCCATACTGTGGATCTACCATTGGCATGCCACGCTAATTGTTGAATGTGTGGGTATACAATGAGGATGCATCTGAAATATTCCAATTCCTAAACTTGACTTTGCCATGAAAACCGTAACAATACAGGAAAAAATTCAAGGATAAATTACTTATCTAAAACGATTTTTGTTTACTTCATTTTCGTTGAGCTGACTCTTTGAAACATTGATTTTTTTCAGCACGATAAATTGTCCCTCGCTTACTATTCGTGCGGATGGTACAACTTCGAACTGCCTTTGCAGCGCATGATGGTCTTTGTGATGATGAATGCCCAACGGCCGATGACGATGCGCGCCCTGCTGGTTGATCTGAATCTGAGGACCTTCATAGACGTAAAAGTCCCGAAACGATGGATTCGTCGAATTCAAACTCTTTCTATTCCAGATTGTACGTGGAGCCTACAGCTACTTCAATCTGCTGCGTAGCACTCACATGTAAACGAAAGCATTAAACGAAAAAGGCTTTCCTCGGAGCCAATCAAATGCCGTTGCGCTTGTCAACTCGTTTGGCTAACATGACAGTAAACAAGCCATGCAATTCATTTTGCCCTGCACACACTCACAAAAACTAAGGAAAGGAAAGTCGGAAGGGGAATTTATGTAGAAGAAGTAGAAAGTAAAATGCTAAACCATTTTACAGCGCAAATAAACGTAGCTCACACTGAAGAGACGCCTGCTACTCAAAAAGCCAATGCAAGTAACGGGCGACATCATTTATCACTTGAGAAACGTCGCATGTCACTGGCATTGTATGTGTTTTGTTATATTGTCTTTCTCAATGGATATAAAACGATTTTTGCACTTCTTACCCACCGAACACGGAACCACCGAACTACCCGCCCCTGGCATTATTTCCCTGCCGTGCCTCTAATTGTCTTGGGGGTTTAGACAAAGGAAATTTATGCGTCTGCCCCAGCAATACGGTCAGATACATCAGGCCACCGCCATCGCCACCACCATCAGCGAAACTAACCAAACAAACCGAATCGTTGTCCCCCTGGGTGTATTTTTTAATATTATTAAGAGTATAGACAAAAAGTAAAAATATAAAAAATACAAAACAACCCGAGACCCACACCCAAATAAACACGCATTTTGTTGCGGTCGTTGTGCTCCCTGGGATTACACAAAGTGGCTAAATGGCTGATAAAGGCACACGCCGAACCTCGGCTACTAATGAGTATTAATGGCGGGGTTACGAGCTCGGCAGGTATGCCAGAATCGAGAACCAGAACCCAGAACCAAAAAACCTGGGCATCTACGTATGTACGTCCTCGGAGGGTGACAAAAGCGAGGGTCACAGATAGTTGGTTAACAGCGTGAAAAGGGTTGTTGGGTAACCACTCGATTGAAATCTCTTTGCGGAGAGAGCAACCCTTTCGAAAAAATGAAACAGAAGAATGCGCTAATATATGAGATACAACTCCCTTTATATTTAAGCAGCATCTGTAGTTTACATTTGTTTCACAACAAACAAAGCATGTTGAAAGGGTTGGTGGGGTAGCTTTTTTATTTGCCACTTAGGGATCATTTTGAAGTACTAAACTCCTACTAAATACGTTAATATTTTCAAAACAAATAAATCCGATTCATAAGACTTTCTAACGGAGTTAATTGATCATCATATATTTATACCCGTTACTCGTAGAGTAAAAGGTTGTATAATATTCGTGCAAAAGTATGTAACATAAAGTAAATATATTCTTGATCAGGGTCACTAGCCGAGTCGATATAGCCATGTCCGTCTGTCTGTCTGTCTGCCTGTCCGTCCGTATGAACGCTGAGATCTCGAAAGCTACAAAAGCTAGAAGGTTGAGATTTGTCACACCCTTTAGCTGAGTTACGATTATAGTCGGGACACCAACCCGAGTGCAGCGTTCGCACTCCCTTTAGCTGAGTGACGGGTATTAAATAGTCGGGACACCAACCCGACTATAGCGTTCTCTCTTGTTTTTCAAATGAATTCACGCCAAGAGTTATGTATAGATCATATTATTGGACCACAACAACAAAATATAATTTGGCGAAAATAGAAAACCACATTGGCTGTGGCATAGCGAATTTTTGGCATCTGTCGCCGGTATTTTAAGCAATATTGGCAAATTTTTTATGGTTTTCGCTGCGCACGTTTTTTGTTGATTATTTATGACATTACATACATAATGCAAGCGTAATGGATGCGAGTGTTCATTAAGCACAATGAATGTCGTGCACTCAGTGCCAACCCTCGTCCCTCAAGGGGAGAATGCGTTGGGAGCCCAAGCATTTTGCACAGGGCGGTATGGTAAGTGTGTGAGCCACCCCCTTTGGGTTTTGCAGTTTTGCGAAAAAATTAAAATTTGCTGCACACATGTAATGAATATTTACAATACACTGCTGCCACAAAAGAAATGAATTCAAAGGGAACGAAATTCTCGGAACGGGGCCACAAAGGAAAACCCCCTTAAAGAAGGCGAAACCTCCTTGTAAGGCTGGTACAGAAGGTGAAGCCAAAGAATTGTCGTATGTTACGATTATGCGTAGTCATAGCTGTGGAACAGAAATTGACTTCTGTGAGAATATATTTACAAGACTTACAAGTCCATCCGAAATCTTATGGAGCCGTATACAAGGTAGTGTCACGTAATTAAAAACTAAGTTTCTTGTAAAATAAAATACTTTTAGTCCAAAAAATGTTTATTCTTTTCAATTTTTGCCGTACTAAATTAAAAATAAAGCAATTTGAACTAAAACTTCATGATTCAAAATATTTTCCAACTAAATTTTTGTTGCATTTCTATACCTTTATAAATGATTTCTATATCTTAATTTCTCTAAGCAGCCATATTCGATTCCTTTCATCTGCTATGTTTCAAACATGCAGTTTTACAATTAAATAAACCAGTAATAAAACTAATTTCCTAGAATTTTGAAATGGGGTTTATTTGGTAGAAACATTTTTATTTAAAATTCTTTTTTTTCACTTAAATGAGTGGGTGTACGTACGTTTGTTGCGCTACCAAAGCTCTCCACTTTGGCCAACTAAGTGTTTTGCCATTAAACATTTACGATGGCACCGTTAAGGCAACACACACGCGTGACTTGGCCAGCTGTTAGGTGAAATAAAGATGGTTATTAAAATTAATTAACGCACGGCGATTTGTTGGCCGGCGCCATTAAGCGAAATGAAGTTGTAGTTAAATTTTGAATGCATTAAATTAATCATAAGCAGGTCGGTCTCCCATCTGTTGGCCGGATATGAGCACTCGAGCTTGGCCAAAAGAGCTGCAGTTGTGTCACCAGAGAACGGGCCCTGCCCAGGATATTATGCACATTTAAATGCAACTGATTAATCATGGATAAATTTGTTTTGCGTTCACAGTTGCTGCTGCTGGTTCTGCTGCTTTTGCTGGTCACGTGACTGCAAACAATTTGACTTCAAACACATTAACAGTTACGGTCGGGCAAAACCGGAGGAGGCCTGAGGAGAGCCGGATAACTCCCGGGGAGCAAATACGGCTACTGCACGCAGAGGGTTTGTCACCAGCAACAACTTAACTTGGCTAACTAAAACTTTTCATGCATTGCCGTTGACAGTGCAATAAACATGCCAAAACAAATGCAGCAGAGGCAGCGACAACAATGGCAACAACTTATGAAAACAACAGTGTCAACTGACCCTCCCCCACCACGCCCACCCTGCATGACATCTTCGGGGTTAGAGGAGAGTTGAACTGAGGGCGGGGGTTTGGAGCTACCCCTTTGAAAATAGACACGTAAGCCATGGAATTATTTAGTCACTGGGCGATGGGGAGCCGCAAATAGTTCGACGCCTTTTTCTAAGAATTTTGAAGGAGGCGCAGCTACTCGACTGATTTATGAAGTTTGCATTGACATTGGAATTTTTACTAGGACAGACTTTTCTTAGACTAAGAAACAATAGGTTCCCAAACCCAAAAACAAAATAGAAAACTTTAGACTTAAAAAGTTAAAAGTAAACCTAAGGGCCAAATTTATTTAATTTAATTCTAACGCCCACAAACGATTTTAAAATGTGTCTAGCGCCCACACCTTAAAAGATTTCGGAGAAGTATAAATTTGCATTTATTGTTTGTTGTGTATATTTATACCTATCGAAATGTAGAAGAAGTGATATTCTTGTTTTTTTTATACTATTGCAGAGGGTATTATAATTTTGGTAAGAAGTTTGTACACACAAAAAAAAACTTGGTAAAATCAACTGTAATAATTGTCAAACAGGCCCCAACCAGCAAAATTGTCAATTCTACTAAGTAAATAGTCATTTCACAACAACAAAATACACACAATTAGCAAAGACACAAACCCAAAGCAAAAACAAAATACACGTAACTATTTTAATAGTTACGTAACTATCTTTGTTGGTCAATTTTACCAAGCAAATTTTTTTGTGTGCAAATCAACTTTGAAAACCGACCCGATCGGTCGTCTATATCCTGTAGCTCCCATAGGAACAATCGGATGTAGCTTTAAAATAAAGATATTTCGCTCAGTGTAAGAGCTATTGACAAGAATCTTTCTAAATCTCATTATTTTACGCATACCTTGATCAGGGTAAGAGCGCGTGCCGATCGGACGTATATATCTTATAGCTCCCATAGGAACAATATGGTGAAATCGGTCTAAATTCGCGCAGAATATAAGCTATTGACATGAAACTTTTCAAATCTTATTATTTTATGCATACCTTGATTACCGTAAAAGCGCGTGCCGATCGGGCGTCTATATCCTATAGCTCCCATAGGAAAAATAGGGTGAACAATTTTATTTTTTTTAATTATAAAAAATATTTTGTTGTTTATTAATTCGTGTTGCTATTCTAGTCAAGTTTTCATTCGCAAAATCTGAAAGGGTATTAAAGATAGCTTTTGTCCTCGTTTTTAGTTTAATGATGTAAAATGAAATTTAAAATACAAAAATTAAATAAGCATAAAGAGTATATGGCCAACACTTAGCCCTACGAATTTCGCCAACGACCATACCACGCTGAACACATCGGTTCTCGTCCGATCACCGAAATTAAGCAGCGTCGGGCGCGGTTAGTACTTAGATGGGGGACCGCTTGGGAACACCGCGTGTTGTTGGCCTCGTCAACAACTTTTTGCCGCTTTTTTATTTTTTTAACGCAATCTGAATAGAATTTTTCTTTTCGCAAAAAATTTCAATTTCAAATGAAACCTAATCCAAATTCTTATCGATGTTTTCAAAAATATTTCTTGCACTGATTTATAAATCAGAACTCTCCAGCCCCGTTTTAAAGTTTTTCCTACGATTATAAGCATTTTCTATATTGTTCGAAGCTGATGTAAATATATTCTCTGGGCAGGAGTGGAATTCAGAGTATAAGGCCAACACTTAGCCCTACGAATTTCGCCAACGACCATACCACGCTGAACACATCGGTTCTCGTCCGATCACCGA